GCAGACTGGCAGAATATTACACATTTCTATCACTGTGCTAACCACCAAGTCGTAAGCTGTACGTCATAAGGTAAAAAGAAAAATCAAGAAAGGTAGTGGCGAAAGACGGCATAATCCACCAGCAGTAAACGCCTGCTAGTTAGGCAATGTCTTGTGGTGGCGATCAGCTGAGTTAAACGGGTAGCCTATCCTCCGACCGGCAGGGGTTTCGCTCCCACTTGACTTGCATGGCGGGCAGAAGGATCGAGAGATAGAGGAGGAGAGGGCACAGAGACAGGCGAACCAGCACGGCAGGCAGCATCCATGCAGAGAAGTACGCCTGGTCTCATGTGCAAAGGATTCAAACTACGTAGACATGTAGAAAGACAACGAGGACAAACAACCGGACAGAAAAGTAATATCGTTACGCTTTTCGGTTTACCAGACGAATTGCGCTTGCTCCACAACGGACGGGGGCAGTTCACTATTCTCAGAGCTGTACTCATTCATTTCTTAGTAAATACTTCCCTGTTTTAACGCAGCTGGCGAGTAAATTACTGACAAAACAAAAAAAGTGCCAGTTACGTAAAAAATGAATTATTTCATACCAGGCGGCAGACTCACGCCTCACGCCGCGCACCTTCTTCGTTATATTTTGCCGCATGCACGCGGGCGGGCGGCCGCGGCCGCGGGCTTGCCTATCGTTGCTGCTAGACGTGTCCATATCGCCCCGTGCGAGTAAGCAACCCACCCGCACCCATGCAGGCGGTAAAGTATTGCAACGAAAGTGCGCGGCGTGAGTCCTACCTGGTATTTGTAGTGGTATAATTAATATTATGGTATTATTTATGGTAGCCCAGCCGAAAATTCCGGTTACGGTTACGGCCAGAATTTACGATTACGGCCGTAATTTGCTACGGTTACGGTCAAAATTTACGATTACGGCCGTAATTTGCCCCGATTACGATTAAAATTTACGATTACGATCGTAACCGGAGTCCGTTTACGGTTTACACTTACGGTTACGAGTAAGCTTACGAATACGACCGTAACCGTAGCCCGGTTACGGTCAGCAGTTACGGTTACGAAACGATTACGACCGTAACCGGAAAATATCAAACTTTGAAACGTCGTAGCGCCTAAACTAAGCTTCGCAGGGAGAAACGGTTAAGGGTAACGCAAGGGAAACACAAGTCGATCCTATGTGTGGAGTTTGGAAAGAGTCGATTTTTCAACCCCCGGCTATCTTGAGAACTGTAAGAGATACGGCAACGAAAACACCACCATTGAGCTCTGCGTCTAAAGGTTTACATGGGCAACATGTCTCTGGTCTCATGGGGGCTTTGAGTTACTGCCAATACGTCATCACCGTAACCGGAACGTTCTCACCGTAACCGGGCTGACTAACCGTAATCGTATTCCGAAACAGTAAACGTAATCGTAACCGGAACTTTACTCGTAACCGTAACCGGAAATGGGTCCAATTTACGAGTGTAGCCGTAACCGTAGACGTAACCGTAGTCGTAACCGTAACCGGAATTTTCGGCTGGGAGTATTAAACAAAAAACGTTGTCAGTAGCTTATAAGGGTTTATAAGCAGCAGAAACACTGAAGAGGCGTCAAAATATGTGAAACAGGATGAGAGCATGCTAAAAACATTTCTGGGATTTCACAAAGTGAACTTTGCACTACAGCAAAAAAATTGCTGTAAATTTACAACGAAAATGTAATTAATTTTGTTAACAGCACATACTGTATTTTTACAGATCTCGGAAACAAAGTTTTAGACCGAAAGCAGTTACTTTCGTTTTGCTCCTGCAAAGAAAAAGTTGTACAAATACGAGTGTCCTGTTTTAGAACGACATGTGCTGCTAACAAAATTAACTTCTCTTTTCTTGTAAATGTACAGCAAAGTATTAGGCAGTGGTTTTTGTTGTGGGCCAATATGGGCTGAATATCACACGTTTCGAGACGACGCGTCCTAGCAACAATGTTCTATCGAAGGAGCGTCGTTTTCAAAATATCCTATCTACAAAGCGTCGTTTTCACAATGTTCTATCTGCTTAAGAAAATCATAGCAGATAGGACATTGTGAAAACGACCTTTTGTAGATTTTGGAAACGACGCTCCGTAGATAGAACATTGTTGTTAGGACGCGTCGGAGAGTGTTCGAATGAAAACAAAATTTCTGTTTTATAACAGGAGGGTCAATCCCGCAGTATGTCGTCAGGGAACAGTTATTTTTAGTTCTGAATAAATATTGCAGAATTCCTTAGGTCTTTCTTAACGCGGCCCCACAGTAGTGCTTGGCGTGGACATGTCGGTACCTCCTACGCTTCTCCTTCCGGGACTGCTATAACATAAACCACTTCAAAAGTACAAAATGAAATCATTTTAGAATTTCTAAAGGTGGCCCGTGAAGTGAACCTTTGTGAAATTCCAACGAATTTTTTGGCAGGGCGAATGAGGATGTAAAATGATTGTTGTGCGGATGTTGCTTTTGCAGGGGGCGTCGCCTCGGACCTGACTCATTACTCCCAACATGTCACGTCTCTTGATGCACTCGGAGCTCTGGAGAAAGCATTTATCTCTCTCTGTCATACCCATGAAGCAGAATGCACCCGGAAGCTTTTGCTTCCGAGAGAGTACGACAACATGAGACCGAGCGTGTGGCACATGTCACATTTGTTTTTCCACTGATTGCGTGAGCTGCAAACAGGATGTCAGGACCCACCTGCAGGGCACCGCAGCATGGACCAGGTCAAAGGTCCCATATCCCTTCATAGCCATTTATCCCGTTCAACATACATCCTCTCTCCCCTCCTCTTTTATTCGCGGTCTGGTAAACCCTACACCTGCTGCAGTGCTCCCTTACTGGAGCAGATTCGCTCCTGCCGTACCAACACTGGAAATGCAAGTGTGTAAATGTCGCTCACCTGCAGGTGAGCGACATTTCATTCGTACACTTAGGGGGGTAAACGTGTGAATTTTCTAGGAAAAATTCACACCTTTAGCCCCCTAAGTGTACGAATGGAATGTCGCTCACCTGCAGGTGAGCGACATTCACACACTTGCATTTCCAGTGAAGTAAACGTCAGAAAATTTCCCTTGGGGCTGGGAAAGGCCTGGGATGGGTAACCGCGCGCGAGTAGGGAGGGGAGGGGTGGAAAAACACTTTTGAGAGTAATCCTGCTATTAGTCAGTGCCATGGTGGTCATTCTTTCTGGAATTCGCCTCAGTTGAGTGAATTGCGACTTTGAACACCCCGCAGAAACTTCTACACTCAAATTCTGCATCTCTATGCACAGCAAATTGCATTGTTAAGTGTGTAGAGCAGTGACTATCTGACTCTCAGAATTATTGATCGATAAAAAATGAACTCCACGATGTGTTTTTATCTGTCAATAATTCCATCGACAGGTCCGAGGGAAGCAAAACAGATTGTTGGACGTGTGGTGGTAAGCAAGCTGCTACGCCGGCATCCTGGATTCCACGTCTTTGCCGATAGATTGCCGAAGGCCTAAAACTTGTCTGGAAGTACAGTTGGAGCTTCGCACTCCTCCTCATTCTGTCTTCTCGGGCGGTTAGATGATAGTTCTCGGTTACTCAGTCAAAAATGTGATTGCTCACATTGCTTCCTCTCTTTTTCATCTTTAACCCTGAATGGGGGCAGTATTTTCGTGCATTGCAAGATGAGTAGGTTAGTGTATGGCATTGGAGATTAATGATGTATGGAACAACTACACTTGTTTGCTTCTTTATACTCACCCCGCTACCCCTGTCTAGCTTTGCCTTAATGCTCATCCTCGTGCAGTTAACTAGTTGCCGTTTTTCCGACCCAACTATTAATTTCCTGCTCATGTTGAGAGAGAGAGAGAGAGAGAGACCGTGAATGAGAGGAATGTGCTTCGAGACTCACAGTCACTCTCCACTTATCAGCGCTCACTCAACCTTCATCATCGTCTCATAATATATTGTTTGGACGATGGGGGTACGGGCATGAGCGTTACAGTGGGTAGAACCACTAGCTCGCCTTGCTCCGCTCCCCGCTCCTGCGACCCCCACACGACCCCTATAAGGCCTCCCCTTTACCCCCTGTGCCAGTAAATCTGCCTGCCTCTGCTCTCGAGCCCAGCGGAACACTATCCCCTCCCAGTACCACCCCCCCCCCCTCATCCCTCCTCCGCCTCTGCGGTGGTCCGTGTCTCAAATCGAAGCTATCAGCGAGACCGACACCCACTCCCCTCCCAGCCTGACACACATGGGGGGTTTATTAATTCTCGCCCCACGGGCGTTTATCCCCCTGCCTCGTGCCGATTGTCTTGAGGCAGCGAGGCACTGCATGGGTTATTGTTCTCCTGAAGCACGGTTAAAAGGGTTTCTAATTTTTGATTTTTTTTGGTGACACTGCCGGGCACAAACTGCTCTTTAAACTCAACCCATAGAATAGGTGTGGCCGAATTCATCGGTTTTCATCGTTCAAGGTCAAAGTAAGTTATGTGTGTTGTGCGTGCAATCAATTATTCACGTGATTTAGTGCCAATTCGACAAACCCCAACGGCGCATGCTGACTCTCCAAATGTACTGCTCTCTAAACATTTCCCGTTGCTCAACGGGTCTTCGTCCCGTCCCTGTCCATGCAACGCTCGATCGTCTTTACCGAGGGAGCATTTCCGAACCTGTAAAGGCCTGAATTGGTGGATTTTCAAAACAGCCCACTCGCTTGCCCCCCCCCCCCCTTCCCCCCCGCGCACCCTGTTCTCGGCACCGAGCCTTTTCCGGAGATATAGTACGCCTGGGGCAGCTCTGGGCGGGGGCGGGGCTCGTCCGGGCGCGGGCGCTGCACGGCCTGCTTTCCATGTCAATAGACTCCTTTGACCGTCGCGGACTCCACCGAGTCCTCCAGCCTCTCCCTCCACTGCGTCCGCGTGGTCGCCGCATCCCCACGCATCGCCGACATCGCTCCCCACCCCGCCCCCTCTCCCGGGCAGCACCGGTTAAGCTTCGCGTTCGTGTTGCAGCTACCAGTCGGCGGACGGCAGTGCCCAGGAGGCCACGGGCACGGTGACCAACCCGGGCTGAAAACGACCCTTTGTAGATAGGACATTGTGAAAACGACGCTCCGTAGATAGAACATTGTTGTTAGGACGCGTCGGAGAGTGTTCGAATGAAAACAAAATTTCTGTTTTATAACAGGAGGGTCAATCCCGCAGTATGTCGTCAGGTAACAGTTATTTTTAGTTCTGAATAAATATTGCGGAATTCCTTAGGTCTTTCTTAACGCGGCCCCACAGTAGTGCTTGGCGTGGACATGTCGGTAC